GTATTGGGTGCATATATATTTAGGATAGTTAGCTCTTCCTGTTGAATTGATCCCTTTACCATTATGTAATGGCCTTCTTTGTCTCTTTTGACCATTGATGGTTTAGTCTGTTTTATCAGAGACTAGTTTTGCAACCCCTGCTTTTTTTTGTTCTCCATTTGCTTGGTAGATCTTCCTCCATCCCTTTATTTTGAGCCTATGTATGTCTCTGCATGTGAGATGGGTCTCCTGAATACAGCAGACTGATAGGTCTTGACTCTTTATCCAGTTTGCCAGTCTGTGTCTTTTAATTGGACCATTTAGTCCATTTTAAATTAAACCTACATTTAAGGTTAATATTGTTATGTGTGAACTTGATCCTGCCATTATGATATTAACTGGTTATTTTGCTCGTTAGTTGATGCAGTTTCTTCCTAGCCTCGATGGTCTTTACATTTTGGCATGTTTTTGCAATGGCTGGTACGGGTTGTTTCTTTCCATGTTTAGTGCTTCCTTCAGGGTCTCTTGTAAGGCAGGCCTGGTGGTGACAAAATCTCTCAGCATTTGGTTATCTGTAAAGGATTTTATTTCTCCTTCACTTATGAAACTTAGTTTGGCTGGATAGGAAATTCTGGGTTGAAAATTCTTTTCTTTAAGAATGTTGAATATTGGCCCCTACTCTCTTCTGGCTTGTAGAGTTTCTGCCGAGAGATCTGCTGTTAGTCTGATGGGCTTCCCTTTGTGGGTAACCCGACCTTTCTCTCTGGCTGCCCTTAACATTTTTTCCTTCATTTCAACTTTGGTGAATCTGGCAATTATGTGTCTTGGAGTTGCTCTTCTCGAGGAGTATCTTTGTGGCCTTCTCTGTATTTTCTGAATTTGAATGTTGGCCTGCCCTACTAGGTTGGGGAGGTTCTCCTGGATGATATCCTGCAGAGTGTTTTCCAACTTGTTTCCATTTTCCCCCACACTTTCAGGTACACCAATCAGACGTAGATTTGGTCTTTTTACATACTCCCATACTTCTTGCAGGCTTTGTTCATTTCTTTTTCTTCTTTTTTCTTTAGATTTTTCTGCTCGCTTCATTTCATTCATTTGATCCTCAATCGCTGATACCCTTTCTTCCCGTTGATCAAGTCAGTTACTGAAGCTTGTGCATTTGTCACGTATTTCTCGTGTCATGGTTTTCATCTCTGTCAGTTTGTTTATGGCCTTCTCTGCATTAATTATTCTAGTTATCAATTCTTTCACTCCTTTTTCAAGATTTTTAGTTTCTTTGCACTGGGTACATAATTCCTCCTTTAGCTCTGAGAAGTTTGATGGACTGAAGCCTTCTTCTTTCATCCCGTCAAAGTCATTCTCCGTCCAGTTATGATCCGTTGCTCGTGATGAGCTGCGTTCCTTTGGAGGGGGAGATGTGCTCTCATTTTTTTGAATTTCCAGCTTTTCTGCCCTGCTTTTTCCCCATCTTTGTGGTTTTATCTGCCTCTGGTCTTTGATGCTGGTAACGCACTGATGGGGTTTTGGTGTGGGTGTCCTTCCTGTTTGTTAGTTTTCCTTCTAACAGTCAGGACCCTCAGCTGTAGGTCTGTTGCAGATTGCGTGAGGTCCACTCTAGACCCTGTTTGCCTGTGTGTCAGCAGCAGAGGCTGCAGAAGATAGAATGTTGCTGAACAGCGAGTGTACCTGTCTGATTCTTGCTTTGAAAGCTTCCTCTCAGGGGTGTACTCCACCGTGTGAGGTGTCGGGTGTCGGTCTTCCCCTAGTGGGGGATGTCTCCCAGTTAGGCTACTCAGGGGTTAGGGACCCACTTGAGCAGGCAGTCTGTCCCTTCTCAGATCTCAGCCTCCGTGTTGGGAGATCCACTGCTCTCTTCAAAGCTGTCAGACAGAGTCGTTTGCATCTGCAGAGGTTTCTGCTGCTTTGTTGTTGTTGTTGTTGTTGTTGTTGTTTAGCTGTGCCCTGTCCCCAGAGGTGGAGTCTACAGAGACAGGCAGGCCTCCTTGAGGTGCTGTGAGCTCCACCCAGTTCGAGCTTCCCAGCGGCTTTGTTTACTTACTTAAGCCTCAGCAATAGCGGGCGCCCCTCCCCCAGCCTGGCTGCTGCCTTGCCCTTAGATCACAGACTGCCGTGCTAGCAATGAGGGAGGCTTGGTGGGCATGGGACCCTCCCGGCCAGGTGTGAGATATAATCTCCTGGTGTGCCCGTTTGCTAAGGCCCTTGGTAAAGCGCAGTATTGGGGTGGGATTTTCCAGGTGTTGTGTGTCTCAGTTCCCCTGGCTAGGAAAAGGGATTCCCTTCCCCCTTGCGCTTCCCAGGTGAGGCGATGCCTCACCCTGCTTCAGCTCTCGCTGGTCGGGCTGCAGCAGCTGACCAGCACCAATTGTCCAGCACTCCCTAGTGAGATGAACCCAGTACCTCAGTTGAAAATGCAGAAATCACCTGTCTTCTGTGTCGCTCGTGCTGGGAGCTGGAGACTGGAGCTGTTCCTATTCGGCCATCTTGCTCCACCCCCCCAATATTCTGTTTTTTTAAAGACATTCTTTTGTTTTTTTCGAGAATGCTTTATGATTTTATGTGTAATTGTCTTAGAAATGATTTGTTAGATTTGTTCTGAGGTATTTTGTTTTTGTTTTTTTTTTTTGAGATAGAGTCTCACTCTGTCACCCAGGCTGGAGTGCAGTGGCGGGATCTCGGCTCACTGCAAACTCCGCCTCCCGGGTTCACACCATTCTCCTGCTTCAGCCTCCCAAGTAGCTGGGACCACAGGTGCCCGCCACCACACCTGGCTAATTTTTTGCATTTTTAGTAGAGACGGAGTTTCACCGTGTTAGCCAGGGTGGTCTCGATCTCCTGACCTCATGATTCGCCCACCTCCGCCTCCCAAAGCGCTGGGATTACAGGCGTGAGCCACCGTGCTTGGCCAGTATTTCATGTTTTTGATGGCACTGTAGGTGGTACTTTGAAACAATTAGTTGCTGGTATATAGAAATCCACTTGATTTTTTTGTTTGTTTTTGAACTTTGCCCAGGTTGGAGTGCAATGGCACGATCTTGGCTCACTGCAACCTGTGCCTCCTGTGTTCAAGTGATTCTCCTCCCTCAGCCTCTCAAGTAGCTGGGATTACAGGCATGTACCACCACGTTCAGCTAATTTTGTATTTTTAGTAGAGTTGGGGTATCTCCATGTTGGTCAGGCTGGTCTCAAATTCCTGACCTAACGTGATCTGCCCACCTCAGCGTCCCAATGTGCTGGGATTACAGGTGTGAACTACTATGCCCAGCCAAAATCCACTTGATTTTATTTATTTATTTATTATTTTTGAGATGGAGTCTCACTCTGTCATCTACCCTGGAGTGCAGTGGCGTGATCTCAGCTCACTGCAACCTCTGCCTTCTGGGTTCAAGTGATTCTCCTCCCTCAGCCTCCCAAGTAGCTGGGGCCACAGGCGCATGCGACCAAGTCTGGCTAATTTTTTGAATTTTTAGTGAGACAGGGTTTCATTGTGTTAGCCAGGATGGTCTCCATCTCCTGACCTCATGATCCGCCCTCCTGGGCCTCCCAAAGTACTGGGATTACAGGCGTGAGCCACTGCACACGGCCTCCACTTGATTTTTATACATTGATTTTGTATCCAAAAACATACTGAATTCACTTCTTACTTAAAATAATTTGTAGATTCTCTTGCATGTTCTTCATGCAGAATTACGACATCTGCAGATACTGATAGCTTTATTTATTCTCTTCTAATTCTTATAACTTTTTATGTTCTTTCTTGCCTTTATTCCACACAGTTTTACACTCTGACCTATTTTTTCCCCTATTTTCCAGTTCTCAGTATATGCTATGAACATTTACCAGCTGTTTGTGTTGCTAACCTGGGAATGGTACTTCTTTCTCTCTCTGCTGGTTTGTGTCTACTTACTGACTCCCCACTACCCACAGCAGTCAGTTATCTCTGAGCTAGATGAGACAGTCCATTGGATTAAAGAAGAAAATATTCAAATGCCTACCTACATGTATTATAATCTAAGAAAAAGAGTGAAATTTAATACATAGATTGGCAATATGTTTATAATTGATAAATTAATAAAAAGGTTACCCAGGATAGGGCTAGGCGCAGTGGCTCATGCCTGTAATCCCAGCACTTTGGGAGGCCAAGGCGGGCAGATCACCTGAGGTCGGGAGTTCGAGACCAGCCTGACCAACATGGAGAAACCCCGTCTCTACTAAAAATACCAATTTAGCTGGGCATGGTGGTGCATGCCTGTAATCCCAGCTACTCGAGATTGTGCCATTGCACTCCAGCCTGGACAACAAAAATGAAACTCCATCTTAAAAAAAAAAAGGTTACCCAGGATTGAAAAATGGCCAAATATTTTAGATACCCCTAATTCTATAGGAGCAAGTCCAAAATTACTCAATAATGTTCCCCGAATACCTCTACAGCTCTTTATCTTATCAGAGTCCCAAACAATACTATTCTATGTGCTAATTGTTACTCCTTTAACTACATATGTTAGCCGTATCCATTCTTATGCTATTGCCTGGGTTCATAAATAACACTCTAGTTGTTTAAGAATTCAAATCTTTACCTCCTCAATGAAACCCAACCAAATAGCAGGAACAGAAGTTCCCCGCCCGGCTTTGTAAGCTTAGATAACTTTTTACATCTTTTTACTATAGTACCTTATTGTAGTTATGTGATTATTTGTTTGCCTCTGTTTATCAGATTATATTTTCCTTGAGAATAGTAACATTGTTTTAGTTGTCTTCATATTCCCCTAAAGTAGGAGAATTCTTGGTGACACATAGGCACATGGTGGGACACCAATTACTTATCATGGCGGTAGAGTATATCTGTTATGATTTATCTTTTCAACTAAGTACAGTGCAAAAGTAGACATCCTATAATGCATTTTCTGATTAACTGTGAATAGTGAACATTATAATAATTCTCTTACAGCACTTATGTCTTTAAATTCTGATTGCTTAAATTCGAATGGAATGTACTGTTTCAGGGATCCTTGTCATTTGAGGATGTGACTGTAGGCTTCACCCAGGAGGAGTGGCAGCATCTGGACCCTGCTCAGAGGACCCTGTACAGGAATGTGATGATAGAGAACTACAGCCACCTCGTCTCAGTGGGTAGGTAGGAACTGTTTTTCATGTAGACTCCTAGTGTGTACATCTTTTCTTGGTTGCTAAAACTTGTGGAAGTTTTGTTGGGGTTAATTATACTAAACTTGATATTCAGGGTATTAAGCAGAAGAACTGTTTAGGGTGCTATAAAGAATATTGTTGTTTTCTTACTTTTTACACACATGGTTGAAATTGGCTTCTGAAGTTTCATTTTCTCCCTCTTTCAGACTCCCTAAAGTCCATTAGCCTCACCCAGTTTCCATGTCATTTCCCATTCACAGGATATTGCGTCCCTAAACCAGAAGTGATCTTCAAATTGGAACAAGGAGAGCAGCCATGGATATTAGAGGAAGAGCTCCCAGGCCAGAGATACCCAGGTGAGTTAGCGTGTATTAAGCAGAAGGATGCCAGTGACATGGTATGAATTCTTTTAATTCTCAAGAGTTTGCATGGCCAGGCACAGTGGCTCAATGCCTGTAATCCCATCACTTTGGGAGGCCAAGAAGGGTGGATCATCTGAGGTCAGCATTCGAGACCAGCCTGGCCAACATGGTGAAACCCCATGTCTACAAAAATACAAAAATTAGCCGGGCATGAGGACAGGTGCCTGTAATCCCAGCTACTTGGGAGGCGGAGGCAGGAGAATCACTTGAACCAGGAAGGTGGAGGTTGCAGTGACCTGAGACTGCACCACTGCACTCCAGCCTGGGCGACAGAGCAAGACTCTGTCTCAAAAAAAAAAAAAAAAAAAAAGAATTTGCTCATATGTTCATTCCTACAATGTGTCACTCAAGTTTTAGGTGCTGGAAATAGAGTAGTGAACTGAATTTTATCCATGACCTTATGGAGCTTACCTTCTGATTGGGAGAAAAAGATAAGGAACAAAAATGACAACACTACCATACATGCACAGATATGCCAAGTGGTCATGCAAAATAGTAAGGAAATTAAAGAAGGTTAAGAATGATGGAGTGTTAAACTTTAGAAAAGTGGATCAGGAAGGGCTTTTTGGATGCTGTGAAATTGAATGATATGAGGGTGGGAGTTGGGGGTAGTCCTGACAGCAGGGGAAGAATCAAGTGCAGGGCACTGATGCAGGAGTGTGCATGTGGTCTTTGAGGACACACAAATATAAGTATGGATTGAAAAGAATGAGTGAGGCAAGAGTGGTATGAGTTGATGTTGGAGAGGTAATGGGAGCCCAAATTATCTAGGGCCATATGGGCCATGATAAGGACTATTATTTTATTTTGAGTAAAATGAGAAGCTATTGGTATGATTTGACCCAATAAGGAATATTTGCTGATTTGTCTTTTAAATGGATATCTCTGGCTGCTAATCAAAGAAAATACTATTGGGGACAGAGGGACGAAAGCAAGAACATGAGTCAGGAGAGTATTTCAGTCTGCAAAAAGGCAATAGTAGCTTACGCTTTGGAATGGTGGTGATTATTAAAAGTGATTGGCTTTTGGCCAGGCACAGTGGCTCACATCTGTAATCCTAGCACTTTGGGAGACCAAAGCAGGCAGATCACCTGAGGTCAGGAGTTCAAGACCAGCCTGGCCAACATGGTGAAATCCCGTCTCTACTAAAAATACAAAAATTAGCCAGGTATGGTGGCGTGTGCCTGTAATCCCAGCCACCCAGGAGGCTTAGGCTGGAGAATCGTGGAACCTGAGGGAGCAGAGGCTGAGGTGAGTCAAGATTGCACTACTGCACTCCAGCTTAGGTGACAGAGCAAGACTCCATCTCAAAAAAAAAAAAATTAAGAAGTGGTTGGCTTTTCGATATGTTCTGAATGTGGGACCTGTAACATTTGCTATTGAGTGGGATATGGAACATGAAAGAAAGAAAGGAGTCAAGAGTGACTCCAAACATTTCACCCAGAGCAGTTGGATAAGTGAGTACCAGTTGGGGGATATTGAGGATAAACAGTTTTGGAGGGATTGTTACGCATTTAGTTTGCACACATAAAGTTTCAGGTGATTATAAAATATCCAGGTTTACATGGCTAATAAGCATTTGGGCATATAAGGGTAGTTTGGTGCAAGTCCAAGTGGAAGATATTTATTTGGAAATTATCAGCTTATGGCAGTAGTTAACAGTTTTGAAGTTTAGTATTTAAAGCTGAGGGATTAGATAACCTCTCTTTTGTGGTAGGACTGGAGGCTATTCCCTGAGTCATTAGCTTTCAGAAGTCTTGAAAGTGAGGAGACTGAACAAAGAAGAAAGAAAAAGCAGTTTGGGGATGAGTGGAAAACAAAGAATGTAGTATCCTGCAGCCAAGGAAGACAGTGTTTCAAGGAGAAAGTGAGCTTCTCTGAAGTGGGATGTGTAAAGTCAGCATTTTCTCTGTCTCTGTCTACAGATCATCCAGAAACAATAAGGAAAAAGAACAACACAAAGTTTATCTCATGACAATAGAGGATATCTGAAACCCCAAATCAATACAAATGGAAATGCTACCAGAATCACTGAAAAATTAAGGAGGGCCATATGTACCAGCAGATGAAAAGAAACAAAAACATTTCTGGTGCTTGAAGGAACTGGTAAAATACTTTAGAGAGACAACGTACATACTCTAAGGTGCAAAGCTTAAATCTCTCTTGGAATAACAACAGTGCTGTGCACAGGACAGCTGGAGCTCCTTTGAATGCAGTTTGGTTCTGTGAAGCTGATGTAGGGTTAAGTATGGAAACAGACACACAAGTCATGTTTTTCAGTGACACTCTGTGACAATGCAAGAAATGAGACTTTCCATTTCAGAAAAAAATGTTACAGACACCTTTGTGAGGGGAAATAAACTTGCATGCTATCTTAGCTTGTATTCCTGTAAACAATTTGAAGTAAAAACTTGTCAGGATGGGCAGACCTACTACAGAAGTGAGGAAATGGGGAGTAAGGCTGGTTAGGACGAAGCGAAAGTACAAGAGGGTAATAACAGAGCAAGCCATTACTAAGGCTACTCTGGCAAGAAAGGAGCGACAATCTGGGTTGATGCATAAACTGAGTTTGGTATATGTGCAAAACACTTTTTCATAAGAAGCTCTCGTTAGATTAAGACATGCCTCTGTTCCCTTTACCTAGTAAAACTGATGCAGTGTAAAAGCTCATGTCCTTTGAAGCTGAGTAATCCAAAAGGAACCAGCATAAAATGCCCCACAAAACTACTGCAAGAATAAAGGGTTGAAAAAGATTAGGAAAAAAAAAGTAGGTGATAAAATGTCACCTGATCAAAGTGGACATAAAGTAGATAAATAATTGGGCCAAATAATAAACCATGAATTTCAAAAATGACTAATTGAATTGATTGCCTGCATGATATGAGAGTTCAAGAAGGATGTTAAGGCAACAGTATAATGTTTTAATTCATTTAATAAAATGCATTCTGGGATGTCAGACTGAGAAAAGAATTGTAAGAGAAATTAAGAATCACAGTAAAGAAAGCAAATTGGGGCCAGGCACGGTGGCTCACATCTGTAATCCCCACACTTTGGGAGGCCAAGGCCAGTGGATCACTTGAGGTCGGGAGTTTGAGACCAGCCTGGCCAACATAGTGAAACCCCATCTCTACTAAAAATACAAAAAATTAGCCAGGAATGGTGGCACACCTGTAATCCGTTACTTAGGAGGCTGAGGCAGGAGAATAGCTTGAACCCAGCAGGCAGAGGCTGCAGTGAGTCAAGATCACACCACTGTACTCTAGCCTGGGCAACAGAATGAAACTCCATCTCAAAAAAAAAAAAAAAGAAAGAAAAGCAAATTGGAGAATTCCCAAAGAAGAATAGGCATTGCTGAAATGTAGATTAGAAATAAATGTGGAAGGCCTTTCAAGCAAGAAGAAACTGAAGAAAATAAAAGGTGAATATTGCATAAAGAAGATAGTATAAAAGATATTTCACATATATACTATACATATAGTTCATTCCCCAAAGTAGAAAATCAAATAAATAGAACCAATATTGAAAATACTCCAATAACATTTTTTGGAGAAAAGAAGATACAATTGAATCTACATAAAAAAGATAAACCATCCCTAAAGAAGGCAGACCAAAAATGATCAACATCATGCTATATTCCTAATAGCATTACTAGATTTCAAAGATAAAGAATCATTTTGACAGCCAGTCAATATAAGAAAAAAGTCCAGCTGATCTCAACCTTTTCCATAACAAAATTTGCTAAACAAAACTGCTAAAAGTCTGTAGAGCAATTGCTACAAAATCCTTAGGGAGGGTCAAATTAAGAACTTTATACTAGGTTAAAGAGTGATTCTTTAACAAAAAAGAGGAAACCTTTTTTTGAATAGGCAAGAATTCTGGGTCCTTTGTCCCTAAGACCTTTTATTAGAAGATGAATATCAGATAACCAAGAAGTGACACAAAAAGCATGGTAAAAATACTGGTAGTAGCCTCTGAATTTAATTGAGGAACTAATTCTAAAGCAAATGTGAGAGTGTGTTGTCGAAAACCTGGGCATTATTGACTGTATTTAATTTGATTAAGCGGAGGCTAAAAACAAGTGGGAAGAATGACGGTATTCTAATAAAGTGAATTCTGTTAAAATGCAGTGTATACATTCCTAAGAATCACTGCTCTATGCAAATGAGTACAATAAAAATCATAGGACTAATGGGAAAATGAGGTCAAGGTCTAACACTCAAAAACTTTCTCACTGTGTCAGTGATACACAACAGTGAAGTCTTCAGTTGCAATTTTGGATTTAATTTCTCCTTTTGAGTCTTTTGGTTTTTGCTTTATGAATTTTGGAGCATTACTAAGTGTATACATATTAGGATCCTTATGTCCACTTCATGAATTAACCGCTTAATAATTATGTAATGTCTCACTTTATACCTAGTAATACTCTTTGTTCTAAATGCTACTTTGATATTAATTTAGTTCTTGCAGTTGTCTTTTAATTTTATTTACCTTTTTCCATACTTTTAATCTCTTTATATTTAAAGTGAATTTCCTTTTTTTTTTTTTTTCTTGAGATGGAGTCTTGCTCTGTCCCCCAGGCTGGAGTGCAGTGGCGCAATCTCGGCTCACTGCAACCTCCACCTCCTGGGTTCAAGTGATTCTCCTGCCTCAGCCTCTCGAGTAGCTGGGATTAAGGGTGCATGCCACCATACCTGGCTAATTTTTTGTATTTTTAGTAGAGACGAGGTTTCACCATGTTGGCCAGGCTGGTCTTGAACTCCTGACCTTGTGATCCACCTGCTTTGGCTTCCCAGAGTGCTGGGATTACAGTCATGAGCCACTGTGCCCCGCCTAGAATTTCTTAAAATAGCATGTGGTTCGGTGTTGCTTTTATAACTTGTGTGAAAACTTGTACTTTTTTTTTGGGCGGGGGGACAGCATCTCACTCTGCTGCC